CCCACTCAATCAAAGACATTCAAGGATGCCACATTCCACTCATACCCCCAACACACACTCTATACCCCCCAGGTCCAGGACATGCATCCACCCCCATTGGAGGCAGCACACACCCGAACCCAGGAGGTAGACCCAATCATTCTGAAGTGGAGAGGAGCAGGTAGCCAAGGCCCGGCCCGGGCCGCACCAGGACGCCCGGCCAGCCCCCCACCGCAGAGAAGCCACACCCATGACAACCCCACCACACCACCAGCGACCAAGTGCACCCCTCCAGCCGTCCAACCCCCGGAACCCGGCCAGGGGGCCACCCACAGGAACCAAGAGCCACATCTCAGGAGACCAAGCCCACCCACAGCCCAGGACCGTTCCTGGCGGCCCGCCCTTCTTCAGGACCCCCTCCCCAAATGGCAGTCGGGGAACATGATGGGAATAAAGACCCTGACACCCACACCCCCACCCCCAGATGTACTGTTGGTGCGTGTTGTTCTATAGAGTAATTAAAATGAAAGAAAAAGAGGCAGAGGCCGGCTTGGTGCCAGTTTCCCCTCCACCAAAACTCTAACCCAAAACCCTAAGTGTCTATATGCAAACCTTGGGGGGTGGGCACATCACAGGAGGCGAGAGTGGTGCCATCCGGCCACCTATAGCCATGAGTGCCCACCATAAGTTCCTATATGTGAATTTCATGAAAATGTTATGAGTGAATGTTTAAGATGTACAATAAAATTTGGGGCCCAGGTGGTTATGGCAAAACTAGGATTCTGTTTTTAAGAAAACCAAAACTGATCACGCAGTTGGGTCAAAACAAAACTCCTCACTAGTTTTAGTTTCACTCCAAATGTGTTGGTATAAGTAAATCTATTTATAAAATGCTGTCGCTAAATCCATAAATCGATCACTCATTCAGTTTGACCCAACTAAATCCAGATGACTCAGTACAGTAAGAGAGATCATGCAGAAAATCACGTAAAAGGGCTTTTATTTCCCCGGTAGTGTAATCTGGGATAACACAGTCTATTTAAGCTGCTCAGCTCCATTCAAGGCCCCCGCTGAAAGACTTATCCTCTCCATTCAGAGCAAAATCTCTCCATCAATGGCCACTGCACAAAAAGCGAGGGATGACTTTTCCCCWGCACTGTACCAATAATGCAGGTGATGCATTCTTTAAAAAAAAGCCAAAGCGCAAAGAAGAAATTCAAGCGTGTGAGAGCACAAATAGACAGTGAAGCTAAAGCCAAGAGTCCAAACACAACTCTAGCAGCTTCCCTTTTACCTCRACATTAGAAGCTACCATGAATTCAATCCTGACATTCCATTTAAGGCCAAAATACAAACAACTTGTCGTAAAATTTGCCATACAGGTTCAGATTCTTGTTCCATCTGGGTTGGCAGGTCATGGATTGTTGTAAATGTGTGTCGACCTAGTAAACTTCCAAAGCTGACAGGCACCGTGTGACGTCAGTGTTTCCATGCTAAACATTGATCACCGATGACCGACAGTCATAAACAGTGCTAACACTGATAGTGCTGCAATGGCGGTGCAAAGGTGTAACTATCTCATCAACAAGGTCAAGTTCCATATACGGTTACTTTATTCTCAATACTTATCAAATAACCATATACGGACATATATGGACAACAGAGGCCACGCCTCCTGCAAGAATCACTTCTCTTTAGCCGAGGGTCCAGACCCTCGAACTAAGCAAAGCGAAGGACAAGGGTCTGGTTTTAACCAGGCTAGTTCACACCTAAACTGTGTTTTCATTGAGTGAAAAGGTGTTTTTTTTATGCTTTTCAAAATGGAGATTTTAAAGAACTTTGTTTTTAGTGTTTGGGCGGCTATGGCAGAGTGGTTAGGGGAGTTGTCCTGGAACCGGAAGGTTGCCGATTCAATTCCCCCATCCAGCGGTCTCAGTTGTTGTGTCCTTGGGTAAGACACTTAACCCCAAATGCCTCTGATGTGTGTCCCATCAGTGTATGAATGTGATTGGCACTGATTAGTCTCCATAGATGATTGTACATGTTGTCTTTGTAGAGACCTAATAGAGTGCTGTGTGAATGGGTAAATGAGGACACAGATTGTAGTGTAAAGTACTTTGAGTGTCCTGAATGGATAGAAAAGTGCTACATAAGTAAGTCCATTTACCATTTAGTGTATCCATGTAGACTCAAAATACAAGATGTTTTAAAAACGTTGAGCCGACGAACAGTTTAATTTGAGCATGCTCAGTAGTATTTTGTGCCCTGGAAACCAAAACAACAATGAAACTATTTTTAACAAAATAGTTGACTCCATTCWTTTTTCTAATACATTTAGTGTTTGGTTTATTTGTGCTTAAAAGGAAGATCATGTAGCACATGGGTGTCCAGTCCTAGTCCCTGAGGGCCACCATCCTGCATGTTTTAAATATTGTTTTCCTGCTCCAACACACCTGTATTGTATGAATGTGTGATTAACATGCTTCTGCAGAACATAAAGAAGTAATTCAATCACTGAATCAGGTGTGTTGGAGCAGGGAAATAGGTCAAACATCAAGGACTGCAGCCCTCGAGGACCAGGAACGGACCACCACAAGTGTGTACATCCCTCAAACGAAAACTCTGGTTCCCCAAAGAAATGTCAGTTCCCGTAAACTGCAGGCGGCTTTGAAACTAAAGTAAGAAACAAACAGAAACCAAATCGTGAGTCTGATGTCTAAAACTGTTCTGAGAAGCTTTAATAAGAAACTCATAATTTTTTATATCGTCTTTAGTTACAGTCTTTATGAGCCAAGTTGCAACAGAGCCCAAGGCTGTCTGTATTCATGCATATGAGAGCAGCTTATTTTGAGCCTAAGTATAACAGGGATCGGCTAATTGGTGTGTTCCAGGTAAGTAGAGACAAGCTTCTGAGTCATGAGAACACAGAGACTAAAAATAGAGAGTGAGACATGGAGCTCAGTCTCCTTTTGGGGTTGAACCCATCAGTTAAAGAAAGTACTTGGCAAATATTTCACCAACCTTTCTTTTTTATGCAAATCCCAGGTGAAGACCGAGGCAAACTACTGAACCGGTCTCCCCTGACTGACTGAGACGGTCAGCTTTTAGTAACCTGACTAAGTCCTTCGTCAGCGCAGCATTAAGTGCCTATTTGTGGAGGTGCTGAGTCCATGTACCATTCAGCAGTCTGACACAGCAGCTCTGCTCTCCCACAGGGATTATACACACACACACATGTTCATTGTTAAAAGAAAGATACATGCGAGTCACGCTGASGTTGACCCGGCAACTCCTTGTTAGAGCACTGAGTGATGCTCATTAACATCACAGACTGGGAAGAAGAGCAATAGGTCTGAACAAGACAGAAAAAATCCGTCACAGAAAAACTAAGCGGGATAKGTTATGCAAAATGATGAACGCTGACTTGCAGGTAACCCAACAACAAGATGCAAAATGTGCATGCAAAAAAGGTTGGAGAGTTTCACTGTGAGTGCTGGAGAAACTTGTCAGGAGCTGGATCCTTGTTTGTGTTTCACTTTGTGAGAGCTGGTGTGTGTGTGTGTGTGTGATTGTGTGAGTTTCAGGGAGGAGGAGCAGATGGTGGAGAACCTGACAGCAGTCACATAGCCTCTCTGCCCACAGGACAGCCAGGCTGAACCAAGGCACTTAGACCGTTCATGATTCAGAGCTCATTTAACTGGCAGTCTATGTGTGTGTGTGTGTGTGTGTGTAAACTGGTCTAGCTATTAAAATGAAGACCTGCATGTGTTTAGGTTCAAGTGGGTACAGATGCAAATTTGAGGACCTTTTTGGTTTGTACTTTTCACACCCAATTCAAACAATAATTTTATTATATTTTACTTAGTTTATTGTTTTTGTGTTTTTATTATTGTACAGCACTTGGACCAACAATGCTTTTAAAGTGCTTTAAAAATAAAGTTGCATTGTATTTAAAATGTCACTTTTGTTATAAGTTTATATTTCATATTCTTGACATCTGCAGTCTTGTCTTTTTTAATATGACTAATACGTATAACATCGTCCCAGTTTTCTAAACTGGTTACAGGAGTGATTATTTTTATTTRTTGGGTGTCAAAATGCTCAGCAGCAATTTAAGTTTGGGAAGCAGGAAGCAATAAAACTAACGTTGTTTACAAGTTGTAAAAGCATCACATGTAATGGTTAAAACAGACCAAATCTCAATTTGAGTTTTTTTTTTTGTTTGAATTTTTTTTTCATTGATTGAATTAAAATGTAATCCTGCTTAAATAATGTCAAYTTAAATGAGCACAGATAAGTGATTAGGTTTGACATGTGATTCTCTTTAAGGGTTTCAGTAGCTGTGGTTGTTAAAAAAAGTGCCTTATTAAGGAACAGCTACAAACTTTAAAAAGCCTACTGTATATAAYAGAGCTATGAAACAATACCGGTTATCGTCCCCTTCCTGATGATTAGCTTCAGAAACMGTAACAAAAAAAATGTCAATTCAACCAACAAATGATTGTTTTTGAAGTGACTTTATTGGTCCAGCATTTGCAAAAAAGAAAAAAAAATACAATAGGACGTGCAGTAAGATGTCTCACTCAGTCCACTCATTCAAAACTACATAAATATAAGGAATCAAATGAAAAGTCTTACAAAAAACTTCAAGTATATAAAGCAGACATGTTTTTTTTTATTGAGACGTAACCTTTTTCTTAAGACATGCCATTAGTACAAAAAAATCCCAGAAGATAATCAAGTCTTCATTTCTGGTTTACTGTATGTACACTGACATTTACAGAGATATTATTAACAGCACGCAGTGTAACAAAAATATAGATGCTTCATTTTGTGCATAGCAGTCAATGACAGCAAAATATTAAATATTTCCCTTTTAACTAAGAGAATTGAATGTACTGTGGCACTGAAACTAAAAATATTCAAACAAAAAAAGTTAAAGAAACTAAAAATATTCAAACAAAAAAAAGTTAAATATTGAAATGATATGTGGAGTTATTAGGTGAAATGCTGAGGAGTTTCTCTTCAAGCGTTAAGAGAAACCGCAAGAGAAGCCGTATCAGGCTTGCAAAACAAGCACTACAGGCACTCTATGGCAAAAAAATAAAAATAAAAAAAAATTACTGCCAAGACAAGACGAAGTTAGTGAAACCCAAAAGAAAAAATTTAAAACACTATCACCACTGTGCAAAATATCGCTTGGTTTGGAGCATGTTATCATACAAAGAAATCATGACATTGTGCCACATTTTTCAAAAGACATGGCATTTACATGTAAACTAAATCAATCGTATTTTACTTTTCCAGTCATGATAAAAATAAAAAAACACTATAAATCAGTCAGATTTTAAAATAAACCAAGGAAACATTCTCTCTAGAGGCATTTGAATCACAAGAATGAATTCCAGGGTCCAAAGGTTTTAAATATTTCAAAGACAAAAAATCTGATATTCTTACAGCAGAGGGGGAAAATAATAATAATAGCTCAGTGATGGGGCATCCTTGGTTGACGAGAGCGATGTGAGATATACTGAGAATTTTATTTTATTTTTTCACGTTTTATTCCACTCAGCTCCTCTTCAGTCAACGGCCCGGTTCACAAGCAGGGCTGCCGGACACCCTGGCACCCGCAGGAGCTTCTCAAGTTCTGAAAAATACACACACACACAAAAAAAAGCAGGGTTAGGCACTGTCATCCAATAAATATACACTGGCAAAGCTTTGAGTAAAAACACCTTCAGGCCAAACAAGTCTTAAGTACAGTAATCCCTAAACCGCAGGGAATAAAAACTTAGTTTGAGGGTGTGAAACTGACAGTAAACACACCCCGCATAGTTGCTTCAAAGTTACTAAAGTGGCAGCAAAACAAGCTCAAACCGGCYGGTTACACCTTTGCTGCCATTGTTTAGACATTCAATAGCTTTATATTGAATGGAAATACGCTTGTTCCGAAACAAATCAATTAACTCACATGGCAAGAGTTGCTAATGATTTTGATCTAGAGGCCAAGTTCAGCATGTTCTGTTTATAGCTGCAGTGTAATTAGTTCCTCTTTTAAAATAATGTCCGGTTTTAAAGCAGAAACTAAATTTCTATTTTGCTGCTAACAAACACGGCTGCAGGCAGAACTAGGAAGCAATTGTGAAGGTGTTCACCTTTGAAAGACTAAGAGAGAATCCACCTTTACATAGTGGAGGATGGTGCAACTTTAGGCAGCACAACACAACAAATAACAGACAAACAGGACGGTCAGCATGACAGAGTGTAGTTGAAAGGAAACTTGGTGACAACAGCTGGGAAGAATTATAGGAATGTGATACTAGGAATTCCCCAATACAAATATGTGCACTTCCTGTTTCACGTATCATCATGCAGCTGAGGCACCACTCTATGGATAGCATCACTACCGCACGAGTCACTCTAGACAGACACACACTTATTAAACAGGTTCCTATCAGAGTCTATACTTACAGGCAAACTTTGCCCAGCCAGTGCTAGAATGTGCCAAGGACAGCGCAGCAGAGGAAGAGAGAAAAAAAACAAAGTGAGTCAACAAACATGCAAAAGGCTGAAAAGGAGGAAGCAGTTGCAAGAGTCTAGATAAAAATTCTGCATCTCTCATTTCCCACAAACAAACATTCAGCTTCAATAAGTCATCAAAAGACTTACAGGTCCAGTCAGAGAGAGGGGAATGTGCTGGGAGCTGCAGAGGGCCAGCGAGGCCACAGAGTTGGGCAGCTCCTGGATCGGAGCCTCGTCCAGGTTTTCGAAGCGAGGTTTTTTGATGTGGGACTCGGGGCTGGTCAGAGGGGTCACACTGTTTCTCCTGATCAAAGTGCCGGGACCTCTCTTAACCTCCTGCAGGGGTGTTATGGATATAAAACAGAAACAACACTTTTAAAAAAAAGGGTTTTTACAGCTTGTTTTTTTTTGTGGTTTTAGTATCTGACAAATGCAAGGAAGAGGCTTCAGTTCTCAGTAATCAGATTACTAACCTCCGGTCTGTCTCGGTGAGTGTTCACTGCCTCCACGTTCAGAGAAATCGACTCCACTTTGCAGCCGTAGGCGACGGGGGTGAGCTTGAGCACCGTGTGAAGGGGACACTTCAGGTAGGGCATCTCATCTGGAGCAAACAGGAAACAAAAATTAAATCAAGTGATCACATGGATGCTTCAAACCCAATGGGGGGATTATGGAAGTTGTACCCACCTGCACTTTTGTCTAAAAAGTAAGCAAGCAGGCAGCGCATGACAGCCTGGTGACAGATGACCAGAACGTTCTCCTGCCTCTCCAGCTCCATGATCACAGGCTCCACCCGCTGGACCAGGTCCTGGTAGGACTGTAATCAGGAGGGGGGGGGGGGGGGGTCATTATTCCTGAGGCAACTCAAGTTAAACTCTGTTTTACAGGCTGCTCCTGTACCTCTCCAGCTGGGTAGCGGTAGTAGTATTTATCCTCGTCTCTAAGTGCAAACTCTTCGGGGAACTTCTCCTTCACTTCGTCGTACGTCATCTCCTCGCACATCCCCTAAAARCGTCAGTGAAGCGGGTCAGATCAGGCCCGCCGCAATAAGCACTAAATCRATTAAAAACATGAAAGAACACTCACAGCATCGATCTCGTTAAGAGCCTTCCACTGCTCGTACAGGACCCCCAGGTGCTCGGCGGTCTGAATGCAGCGGCGCAGCTGGCTGGTCCAGACCTTCAGGTCTTTCAGCTGCTGCTCGTCCACAAACCGAGCCAGGGCGGCGGAAAACTACAACAAGCAGCAGTGACAAAAAAAAAAAAAAAGTGTTGAGCACCCAGTGTTGAGAACAAACAAGCCTTGCTTGCATCGTCCGCAGGCGTACCTGTCGACCTCTGAGTGACAGGCCCGAATCGCCACCCAGCCGCCCCTCCGTGTTGTCCGTGCTCTCTCCGTGTCGACACAGGTAGATGGTGCGCGGCTGGATGTGAATGTTCATCAGGTAATACACGATTTTACTCTGGATGTGATCCTGGAYGCGGTTGACGAGGAAACGGCGACCCACGTCTATGACTTTGATGAAGGAGAGTTCCCTGGAAGGAGGAGGAAGGGACCACGTCAAAATTCCTTATTCTTGGTCAATAAAACAAGTATAGTTCTGATTCGGATGATTGGCTTGTTCTGGGCATAGCTTACCTGTCGTGCTGATCTGGGTCCAGAGGTTGGTAGCTGGTTTTGTAACATTCGATTCTCTTCTGAAAATCTGTCATGGCATCTGTCTTGTTGCAGTCGCGGTAGTCCGGACAGGACACCTTGACTTCCTGCAGAAGGGGCAAAACCGTCAGACGGTAAAAGACCAACCAGAAGTAACACTCATTTGAACCGAAACGAATAAGAAAAACGTGGGACTCACCATGATGTTCGACGCGATGACGTTTGGATCGTCGCACACGGACTCGATGAAGAATATCTGCGTAAAAAGAAACATTTGTTTAAACCTGTCACGCTGGCCCAGCTGTCCATTCTGGCCTCTGTCATAGCAACACGAACCTTGAAGTCGTGCTCTTTGCCAAACTTGAGGATCAGCTCTCGCCTCTCTCTCGTCGTGTTTGTAGCATCGAACACCTGATGGGAACACCAAGACAGTTCGGTTAGGTTTTGGCATTTCACGCACAAGAAATCTCGAAAAGGGAAGGGAAACTCACGGCTACTTGGCCTCCTTCATCCTTCAAGTAGGACTTGACGTCTCTCAACGCAGCTAAGGCACACTGCCTAAAACAGAACAACGATACAGATGTGAATAAAGTCTAAGAATCGCAGCGATGCGCTTTAATAGAAGCGGACTCACTGCCGGATTTTGAAGGCAGACTCATTATCAGGGTTGAAGAAGTCGTAGGAGCTGTAGTTCTTCACGGCCTCTCGGCGGTACTCTCCGACATTGAAGACTAAAAATACAAACCGAGTTAGAAACGCGAGGTGTAAACTCTGGGTTTTATCGTGTAAATGAGACCCCTGCTTACCTTTGGTGGGTATGCCGATCCAGTTGAGGTAGCGGGTTAGTTTCTTGGACATGTACGTCTTGCCCCGAGCCGGCAGACCCACCATCACAATGACGGTGGGAGGGTTGGCGAAATGAGGAGCGCMGGTAGCTGCAGAGAGGAAACACCGTGATTMATCGATAATGTACACAACACGTATCTGCCACCGGACCCCCCCTTTTACTTCCACCTCACCGAACAGCCTGAGCCGACCCACTTGTGAGCCGGAACAAATCGTTCGGCCGTGCTGATAAAAGTTATCCCTTCCCCCGGGCCTGTGGAAAATTTTACTCCGGGTCACACCTCTTTGTTTTGGTCCTGATTTCGTCAATCRAATTGATCTTTAGCAATGAGAAAACTTATATTTTCCCTCACYCAATCATTCAAAGTGTCAGAAGAAGCCAGTAATTTTTCTAATGACCCCCTGAGTAATCGAATTTATGCTACGTCACCACTCAGCTAATCGCTTCAACACAAGTGTCACGACGCTGAACCAGAAATAGGGATTAGATTAAATCAGTTTATTGGACGTCTGATTCATCGCATCTGGGCCTTGTTTTCATTTATCATCTTATTTTTCTAAAACTCATACGGGATAAGAATAGGAAATATTTGATATTTCACTTTAATAAAATTCAACCCCTCCCCAAGAATGTGTTGAAAATGCCAAGGCAGCRCAGACAATAAAAATGCAAATTGTGTAGTATTTCCTGTTTCACTTTAGTTCTAGCTTTACAAATTCCACAAGTTGCAGCTATAAACAAGTCTTCCCTGCTAATTTTAGTCCACTGCGAGTGCGTCATGTCTTTCTTTTAAGCCTAAAAATAGCAGCTACATGATTTCAGTTCTCCTTGAACTGAGCAGGAACCCTAAAATTCATCTGTGAGTTTATGCGACGTTATTTAAGCTATTTTCTAAACTACAAAACTRATTTATTATTCGTCTATAGCGGCTCGTTTGATAACGTGCGTGACGTCSCTACGTGAGCACATAAGGGCCCAACCGACCAATAGAAAAGCACCTCCCCAGGCGTCATGTTCAGGAATCGGGGGAGGGGATTTAACGGTAGCCAAGGCGACAAAGCACGGTGACGTCGCACATGTGCGGATGGAGATACATGGAGTTAAAAATGCCGGCGAAGCGCAGCAGGTGCAACGATGATTTTATTACTTGAAGACGCTATACCAGTAAAAAAAAAAAATTAAAAATTAAAAAGTGACCTTATTAAAAATATTAATAAAATAAAAATAAAAATTTACGTTAGATTAAAAAATGCGTATTCAACCAAGTGGCCCGAAATATCACAGATTAATGTASAAAACAAGATAAATACGGGTTTTACCTTTTCGCCTTTCATCTTTGGTGGGAACCCAGATCTTTTGGATCCTGTTCTGGGTCAGCTCTCTTGGCATTCCTTAGTTAGACGCTAAAATAAAGCACACAATGCAGCGGAACTGAGTCAGGTTCCTTCCTCCCTCCTCCTTTTCTTGGTTTTCTTTTTCTAAAGAAGCCGGTAGCTGCTGCCTCTTCGAGCGGGAGCTTCGTTCTCGGTGCTCGCTCTGCTGCGTGTCTCTCGACCTCGTTGAACCGAGCTAATCTGCCGGCTCTGCTGCACACATCCGCTTTTTAAACCACGCCTGGCCGGCCGGAGGCCGACGTGACTGAGGTGACGACACTGCGCGTGCGCGGAGGAGGCAGACCCATTCATGCATGTGCAGTGAACAAGGCAAAAGCGCGCGCGCACACAGTGTCAGCTATAGCGCCTCCCTGTGGCGGATTTTATATATAAATTTGGGATATTTTTAAACATAATAAATGTAACTTTTTTAAAATGAAATGTACTATTTATCGTTTGTAGTAGTTTCCTTTTACTGTTATTTTAATAGTCTGTTTATTTCTGTAGGTTTATATGTTTATATCAGGTATAAAACGTATAAAAGTAACATTTTATGTTAACTTTAAAGTGACCGTTTTCTTCCTGAGATTTGTGTTAATTGTGCTTTATTTTGATAGAATAAACGTGACGATTATTTAACAAGGAATGCGTTTTTTTTTTGTTACATTGTTTTTTTGATAGGATTTACCGCCCCAAAAATATTTCCTGTGTATGAATTCTCTCTGATCGAAATAAAACCTAAACATTATTATTATTTTCAATGTTGTTGTTTTTTTTTTTCTGAGAATGATTGCTTCTAAACTGGACAGTTTTAACTGAGCTCTACCTACGTGCAGAGACGCACGTCTCWGCGCATCTCTGCAGACTGGGCTGCAGCACTGACGCATGCTGGGTATAATTACACATTTCGCGATTTGCCGCAAATTTTATAGCGCACTTTGCTGAAATACGCTGTCATATTAGTGCGCACAATAACTACTTTATAGGAAGATAATTACAGGAGAAGGATAGGGATATATAAAAATGTAAAAATAGCTTTCATCAACACCAGGAGGGATTTTATAACATGTGTTAAGAAAATAAGAAGAAAGAAATTAATCACAAAGGCTCAGACAGTGTCTGTCTAAAACTGCTCTTTTATTAGAGTCAGACTTGTGTTTTCTTGCATCATCCTCTCCCCTCCCCCAGCTCTCCCCTCAGCATCCAGCCTCCAAATGGAGAGGTTGGAGGATACTGGAAAACACCAAGCATTAAATCACCCACTTCTTCCACCCTTACCTCAACAAGGACTTTTAAATGTTACTCTCAAATCAGGATGTTTGATGACATAGGTCTCCAGTCAGCTAAAAGTGATGGAGTCTTTTTTTATTTTATTTGAGCAACTGGACAAAGAGAAGCTGGATGACTCAGAAAAGAGAACAAAGCTAATATTGTCTTAGTCACAGCTGCCAGGTGGGGTGGGGGGCAGGGGGTCTCACGACCTAAACAGCCACTGAAACTTTAGTTTCTTAAATTAGTGCAATAACAATAAAATAAAGCTGAGAGTTTTTATGAAAAGCTGGTTTGTCCATTTTCTTTGAACTAGTTGGTTCTTCAAACTTAAAAACTGGCTTTTGTTTTACTGTTTGGGGACACAAAATTGCAAGAAAACAGGCAAATTTTAAAAAAATTGCATGACCATTTTTTTAAGCCGTGGACTAAAATTTCACAAGTTCACATGTCAGCCAAAAACAAAATGCACCGAATTACAAAAAAACAAACAGAAGAGTACCAGACAACAGCACTTAGAGCCTAGCTAAAGGATATGTGTTCAAGGCAGAGTGAAGTATGGGTGCAAAGGGTGCTGCAGTACTCCTTGATGAATGTCAAGGGATATGCATGACCAAATAAAGGGTTATTTAAAAAAATAACAAAACTGATTTCATTAAAGCTTCATATTTAAATCACGATTACATTTTGATATTGAGTTTTATATATCTGTGTACAAAATATTACAATTATTGGTCATGATTGCAAACTTTTACAGCCAGGTGCAGAAATATTGAGATTCTTGTCTTTTTTGGCTGTAAGGGAGCATGATGGATTTGAAATGAAACAAACAAAATGTGCTTTAACTGCAGACTTTCAGCTTTAATTTGAAKGTACAGTATTTACAAATCAAGACACACAGATACTTAAACACTTTGGAGAGACCACCTGTTGCACAGGATTTGCGATCAATTCAAAGGTGAAAATTTGATTTATGATTAATTTGTCCATTATTTTTGCTCTCTTAAAAAGTGGGAGGCACAAATACAAACTGTTGCAATTACCATTCACCTGATTTAGATGTAAGTACCTTAAACTTAAAGCTGAAATTCTGCAGTTTAGGCACATCTTATTTGTTCCATTTCAAATCATTGAATAGGCAAAAAATATTAAATATTCCATTGGAGAAATCTTGTATATACACGCATGTTCACAACTGCTCACAAACAGGTGTTTTGATCCGGGGGTTCTGACAGGTCACTGAGTGTGTATATWCTGACAATATTTATGAATGTAGGCATGCATGTATGCATATCTTTATATATGTATGGGTATGTGTATATTTTTATATATGCCCTCCATGTATTTATCCATTTATTTTTCAGGTGAGCGGACAGATGTTGGGTGTGTGGTCCTGTGTTTTGTTGGTGTATATTTAAYATACTTCTAATCGCTATTTCAGTCTTTCTATCTTTCTAATTACTTCTCTCTCTCTATTTTCTCTTCACAAAAAAACATAATGGTGTGGAGAGGATGGCTATAAGGGGAGAAGGGAGGCCATCAAAAAAAAAATAGGCAAAAAATTAGAATTGCRTAAATGCCCAATATTTATGGACCATATCTGTCCAAAATGCACATCACTCTTTTGGTTTGTCTTGTTAGATGTATTTCAATGTATTTTGTTTTGTGTTATTGTTAATTTGCCTCAATAAATGTAGAAATAAGGTTGTTGCACTTTTTGTGCAATATTCTAACAATGACTCTTTGTAACTTTAAAAACAGGGACAAATTGTAAAAGGGGTAGACAAGTGCAAAAACAAGTTTTTTTAAAAAAAGATGACTTGTTTTCAATAATAACAATTCTATAGGGATATAAGCAGCTGAAGCAGGTTTTATTTAGCTTTCTAAACTTTGGGGAGTTTGTTTAAAATTATTGCTTCAGTTAGAAACTTTTGTTTAGAGGAGATGTCAACCTTTCTAGGTTTGAAAGCAACATGGTGTTTTTAGATGATTACTAGACAAAATGTGGATGACGCCAGGTRCTCTGGACTTAAACTAAAAAAAGATCCAGGTTGGTTTTAGCCACAAGCGTTAAAGTCAGATTTCCTGATGGTATTGGGTACACTCTCTGTAGGGACATTCAAGCATTTTTAACAAGACTTTGTTAAACCACATTTGACACAAGTTACAAAGGCATGTCTGAAGAGTAAGAGGGCCTGGATTACCTACAGTCCTGAATTGTTTTCTGATGGAAAATGAGCGCAAAGTTTYGAAAAGCACGGTGAGAGAACCAGCCCAGAATAGCTGCACACCTTCAGGCAAACAAGAACAAAGGGAGAAAATAACACCTGAAAGCTTTCATCATTTGGTCATTCTACAATACACCTTACATGTGACCGCTGTTATTTCTCGAAACACACGCTCAAGAGTTTGAACTACAGGATTTAGAGAAGTCTGACGTTTGTTTGATCGAATGTTGGTTAGTTGTGAAACTAACCAACACTTGCCTCATCAGTAAAAGTGAAAAAGACAAAGTTTAAGGATAAGATTATTATTTTGGCTTTGTTTCTTCTCCCTGAAAGTGTGACAAACTTGGAAGGAGTGACAGCAGTGAAGGTTGTGGGTCTCAGTGGGACAAYCCACCTGCCTCTCTTTGTGAAGAAGTCGCAACAAAAATAGGTTTTWATTCATGTGGGGCTGGAGCTGAAGCAGAGTAATTAAAGTGTTTGTCAGGAAAACATTTGGTTAAGTTTTTAGACTTTAATGAAACTTACAYTGACTGACGTCCACTAATTTAACACAACGTGGTGTGTAAATAGAATACAATTTTAAAAATAAAAATATTTGAGATTTTGAGACTTGACAAAGTGTAAGAAAAGSACAGTACAAAGCATTCAAGAACATACTTTTACACATCAAAAAACATTGAAGCAAGGCATTTTATTTTTTTGTAGTATTGGCATGCATTTGGGGCGGCTGTGGCAGAGTGGTTAGGGGAGTCATCCTGGAACCGGAAGGTCGCCGGTTCAATCCCTCTTCCAACTGTCTCAGTTGTTGTGTCCCTGGGCAAGACACTTCACCCCCAATCCCTCTGATGTGTGTCCCATCAGTGTATGAATGTGATTGGCACTGATTAAGCTCCATAGTTGATTGTACATGTTAGCTTTGTAGGAGATCTATAGAGTGCTGTGTGAATGGGTAAATGAGGACACAGATTGTGGTGTGAAGAGCTTTGAATGTCCTGGATGGATAGAAAAGCGCTATATAAGTACAGTCCATTTACCATCATTTTGCTTTCTTTTTTAATGTGAAACAAAGCTTTAAGCAAAAAAAAAAAAAGTATATTTACGATATGCTGTATACTTTGTGTATTTGCCATTTTGTTTTTCACAGTTTTGGTTAGTTTGTACCCAGGCTTTTGTGAACATTAGATATGAGCCACCCTGTGAGGCTCTCCATGCCTGCCTGCCTTGAGGATTCCACTTCCACTTAACAGCCGACAATTTAAAATTACTTRTATATTACTGTAATCTACAACAGTTTCCGTAAACTTGTTAGTCATGTGGAGAAGAACTCATGGAACGAGATGGTGTAAATATTGTGCACGTAGGAGACAGCATGGAGACACAGGCAGCTCTCTGTGGCTGAATGGTCAGGAGGACGTACACCTCGGCCGGGCAGCGTGAAACATCTGAGGCCGTAATCCCTATGGCGCCAAGTTAAGGAGATCAAGTATCCTGAGGTCTTGTTGATGAGTGTCTGTAGAATGAAGCAGGAGATTAATAGGTGGAATAAGGTCTGCTGTAATGAGAGCGTTGGCAGAGCTCTTCATTTACAGTCAATAGGCAACTGATTCAAAGAATRAAATMAACARTACAAGTGGCTGAARTAAGTTTCCTCTGGAGAACAGCTAGACCGGCGTTTTTAAGTTAAACTTTTCAGGAAAGATGCAGAGTATAGAGTTGCTGCTCCTCTAAGGGTGAGCCATTCAAACGTTTGGGCAGTTGGTAAGGATGTTTTCTGGACAAACCAAGAACTGACCGGAGAGATCATATCTCACAGTTGGCCAAGGAACATCTTAGAGTCTCTGGATGAACTACAGGAGGCTGCTATAGAAGGAAGTCTGGGGATCTCTGATTTAAGGGATCATATCATGCAAAATCCATATTTTTAGCCCTTATTTTGTTGTGTACTTGGAGTATAGGAGTGCAGAAAACCTGAATTTATTCTCTCCTAGTGCTGTGTACAGTACATACTGCATATATATTCTGTTTGAGTCATATTTTTCAACTCGTTCAGTTTCTCTATTTTCTACCATGTTTTCAGAACTCTTATATCACAGTATTTGCAACAGAACTTCTAAATGAAGTCTGGACTTACCAAATATAATCTGGTGGTCTTCATTCTCCTCTGGCTCCTACATGTAAGRCTGGAGATAGGTAAGTCTTAGCTTTTTGACATCTTTTAAATGATTTGTAAACAAAACCTTTCTTCACTGCTATATAGTCGTAAGCCCTCTATCAAAATAGAATCTGGAAAGGGGGGGGGGTGTGAAGCGCCTCGTTTAGATCTAAAGAAACAGCCTAAAAACGAGTTGATCTGAGACACACATCAGAAAAAGGGTGAAAGAGGGGCTTGTGGAGTTACAATAAGGGGGGTTCAGATCATAGCATTGCAGTTCTACCCCAACTGAATGATTTAAATGTGAAAAGGAAGGGTTTAAAAGCAAGAAATGTCTACTGTACGTTAGGGAGTTTCTCCTATGACAGATAGAKGGATAGAAACTACGAAAAGAGGGTTGAGGATCTAAAGTCATAGTAATGAACATTTAGTTTAGAACATATAAATATTAGAATTTGCTTAAGATTGGGGATTACATAGTTCAGGAATAAGTCCACAGATACACAATGTGTAAAAACACCTGAGTACAATGCAAGAGTACAAACTGACCTTAAGGCTTTATCTACAGATTGCTTCCAAAGCAAACTTTAAAATTTGCTCCGGTAGCATTCAGTTTCCCCAGAGAACATTCTGTGCATTCTTCATGAAAACGTAGTACCAAAAACTCCAGTGAGACTTAGTTTTCCACCACTACACAGTTTTATTTAGCAATAATCACTCATTTCAGATTCTATGAAAAATGTAAACAAATAGATCGACTGTTGCATTTAGTTTGTTTTAAATGCAAATTGAAATAAATCTCGAGTTTATCATATCCATTCTGTGTCAGGCTGCTTAGGTTTGGAGTTATAGGTTTTATTTTATGCTCTTATTTAAAGCAGTCAAGCAAGCTCTACTTTATCAGTCCTGACAWGACAGTTCAGTCTTTTCTATTGCTACGATTTCGGGTGTCTGGTTTCTTTTCAAAAACCATCTTTCCGATGCTCTGAAATTCAATAATATCAAATTGAATAGAAACATGTTACACAGTGTTATTTACTGTATTTATTTATTTATTTATTTATAAAAGCGAAGCCCAACAGTCGAAACTACGTGTTAAAAACTAAATACACCTCATGATTCCGTGGCTTTAGCATCTGAAACCTAAAGTAATTGTGGAAAACAGACAGACGCCYTACATTTAACTTGGGAAAACTTTGATTCACAGAGTTCATGGTTGACTCAGTGGCTCAAACATGGTAGCTGAGCCAAACTGTCGGTTCTGGTATGATGCATTAGGATTTTTTGCCAAACAAGTCGTGGCCAAACATCTCCACTTCGGATTCTCCTGGACAACATTGTTTCAGAAGTGTTTATTACAGGTGTGACTTTGAAACCTTGAGTCAACACTGCCAAGTCATTTTTAGGAAGAGGTTATTTCTTGACAACTGAACTCAAACGAGCCATACTTGTTTAGTTTTTTTTTTTTTTTGCAACTGACACCTCGTGAACTTGAACAAATTGCATGCTCACAAAGGCTTGTATTGTGTTAACACTTTTTCCAACACTTCCAGTYATCCCTCGAGACTTCTTGTTTATATTGCTACATGCAAAAACTTGAGCAATGCTTACAAAAATACTGGAATTCCTCAATCAAGATCATAAAATTTATACCATTTTAGTAACATTTCCATATGTGCTTCAAGGATGACACTTTTTTAAACTTTTGATCCTAACGACWGACTTGGTGTTTTTGGAACAATATTCTTTTGTGTTTTTTCTTTTTCTTAATTATAGTGTAAGAAGATAGTCATTCTTTTCATTATATAACTTTGATTTATAAAATGATAATAACTTGTAGTTAAAAGGAAGTATAAACCAAAAATATAAAGAACATTATTATTTTGTTTATTAAAGAAAATAAAATGTCTCTTTTGAGAAAGGTCTTTTGAGATCAGGGTCAAAGACAGGTGGAAATGTCCATTCCCTCTCAGGTGACCCTTACGAATGCAATACTGCGATTATATTGAGTNTTATATAACTTTGATTTATAAAATGATAATAACTTGTAGTTAAAAGGAAGTATAAATCAAAAATATAAAGAACATTATTATTTGTTTATTAAAGAAAATAAAATGTCTCTTTTGAGAAAGGTCTTTTGAGATCAGGATCAAAAACAAGTGGAAATGTTTATTCCCCCTCGGTGTGACCCTTACACTATTTAGCTGAGTGTTATTGGTACAAGATGAAAGAAGCTCTCTTTGAGAGAAAGTTTTAGAGGTCAAATTCAGCACAAGAAGTTTCAAAGAAACCAAACATCTGCAAGTAACTCTTGTACCATACAATAAKAAGTACTTATTAGTTTAGTACAAGCGTTGAAAGAATGGCAAGTTTGTCAGAAGAACGCATATGAGCCAAGACCAGATTACTCAGTTTCACTTAAGTAACCAAAGATCTTTTTGGTCAACAAAGACATTTGATCATAATGACATGATGTTGTAAAGGACGGTGGCGGAAGCATTATGGTTTGGGGTTGCTCAACTCTTTCGGCAACTGGGCCATTTTGATCAACAAAGAAGGCCATTGTCTGAAAGTTAAAGAACAATAATCATAAGCAAACTTTCTAAAGAATAAGTAAACAAAAAGACAGATGTACAAAAATAATCTCTAGACAACAGTAATTTAGAGATCCATTCTGACTCAAAGAAATCAAGTGGTCACAAACTGAGAACAAAAGGGTAGTACTCTCGTCATGACATTAATAGTGTCATTTTATAAATAAATAAGTGGTCAGAGAAMGGCTTGTTTTACAGCATGTAGCTATGTTTTTTTTTTGCAGATTCTTGAATGTTTAACAAAAAACATACAGCAGGAAGGTTTTTTTAAAACATTTATCACCACCTTTTCAGTTTTTAAAAGGTAAGGCTCTGCTAGTTCGTTCACTGACATTACTTAGCGGGAAAAAAACATGCATTTAGGCTTATATTATACCAAAGAAAAGAGCAGCATTGAATTGTTGAAAACAAGAAGAAATATAGGTTTTGTTTTTATTATCATAAGATTCAATAATAGTGGAAAATATTGACTTATTATACACTCAATACATTATTAGGTACACTAGTTCAATTGCAATAGCCAGCTCTTATGTATAACCACATGGCAGCAACTTAACTCATTTAAGAAAGTAGACAAGGTGAAGCCAACTTAAAGTTCAAATCAGGCATCAGAACTAAGAATAAAGATGATTTAATGGCTTTGAATGTGGTGTGGCTGGTCTGAGTGATTCAGAACTTGCTGATCTACTGGAATTTTCACACAMAACMATCTAGGGTTGAATGGTCCAAAGAATACCCAGCGAGTGACAGTCGTAAGGAAAAATCTGCAGCCGCCTGATGCTATCRGAGCAAAAAAGCACCAAAAGCTGAGAAATGTTTCCAACACCTTGTTGAATCAAAAACTAAGGATTAAAGCAGTTCTTAAGGCAAAAGGTCCAACATGGTACTAGCAAGGTGTACAATGTGTACCCAATAAAGAGTCCAGTGAGTGTTTGTCATTTGGAGGACCACTTAAGGCCTGTGGGATTTGAATAACCATGGAATGGGCAGTGGTTGAGTAAATCAAAGCCTAAACTGGAGTCCAATGAAGATGGTGTTGTGGTACCAACATGATAGAACCCTAATAGATTTCAGAGGCACACTGTTCCTGCAAAACAAGGTATTTATACCTTCTGCAGCTGTGGATGWGCTTACTTATTCCACTCAAGCTGTGTTGACTCCAAGCTCATGTTAAAGTTATGCATGTTGGTATGTAGGTCAGGGCTTAATAGGCTGCCAAGGCCAGTCAGTGACCCAATGATACTACAAGCTCAGCAYGTTTAATTTGACCCTGGTGTCTTAMTGTACATCTCAAAACATTCAGACACAATAAGGTTTTTTTATTCACGTTTTGAAAACCATACATCGATGATGACTGTGATTTAAGTGGACTTGAATACAAGAAACAGCAGGAATATTAGGTTAATTAGGTCTTTCTTCTTATTTCTGCTCCAACAATCAACCTGTTTCAATGATCTGAATTAAAGCTGCTCCAATGGGAGGTCTTTGGATGCCGTTAACTGGAAGCCCCAGAGTCCTCCTGGCACTCTTACATAAGCTTGAATGAGGCTACGTTACTGTCCTAGTCCCCTTCTTATAAATCAGCAAGKCTAAGTTGGGACTCTTGCACCCAGAGGATATCATAACATTACCAAAGAACTCAGCAATTATGTCACAAATTTCATACAGTGAAAYGAGGTTTCTTGGAAAGTGGAAGATTAAAGGATGTTTACAAGTTCCACAGATACATAAAAACGTAAACAGGTTATGGTTTACACCTTTTATTTTGTCTTKACATGAAGAAAGAAACACATGATGGGCTCATGGTTACACATAAACATTGCTGTTTAGGTAATATTTATACGAAAAAAAAAAGATAATTATGTACAAACGGAGAGCTGATGTGAGCTCATAGTGTCCATTGGTGACATCAGACCTGCTCGCCAAGATCCAGAACCCGAAACTTGTCTAGATTGTAAAAGCAGGCCTTGACGACTCGTCCTCCAAARTAACGTCCATTTAGATCCACAACGGCTGCAGAGGAAATAGATGTTAAAAACAAACAGATAAAAGATCCACAATAAAGTCTCTACATACAGCTACCGCAGCTTACCCAAARAACAAAAACCAAGACACCCGAGTCAGTTTGTTTCTTATTGTTAACCTGTTCTAGGAAAATGTGGAAAACAAGACATCTGTGTCATTTCTCTGAACAAAGGTTTGTTTTCTACAAAAACATCCTGATGAGGTAACACTCTTTTAYTGAGGACAAATAAGATACAAAGCAGTCGTTCCGTCCTCATTGACACAGCTAACCTTGTCAGTGAAGGGTATTTRGATCGGTTCTGTGAGTCTTCGGTCAGAGATCATCTCAGTCTAATTTGTTGGAACAGGGTTCATGCAGGTTTCAGTAAGTTAAATTTAAGACCTTTTAAAGACCTTTTAAGACCATTAGGAATTATATTTAAGACCAAACAGATGCATTAACAGAAACATTCAAATTATCCCAGAAAATTTAATATAAAAACCTTTTATTGTTATCAATTTAGCTATTAAAGAATATTTAATTTTAATACAAGAACACTAAATTATTTTTAATGAATCATATCTATGAGACCTTCATATCRACTGCTGTGGATCGCTTCCAACTAAGGCCAAAAATCACTGATATCAGCCAAGTCTCATTGAAAACACACTTTCCCATGTTTAAACCACAAGCWGTGGCTGAACCTCTTTGTTTTTTGGATAGGTGAACAAGCCGCCGTATGCAGGGGGTTGTAGCAGCAAAGAGGTCAAAAACATGGAAGTGTGCCATTTTTCGCCTGCAGTTATCACAGGATTTGTAGTTTAACCACAGACCAGGGGTCAGATTTATAAAAGATTGCGTGGAAACCATACTAAAAGTGAACGTATGGCCAAAAGGTGAAAATGGCGTACGCCAAAAATATTCAGATTTATAAAACCATCTTCGTCATCAACGCATCTTCCCTTTATAGATCACAGCTTCATCTCAGAATTTGCGCACAAGGTCCCGCCTCAGGTTCTGCCCTCTACACGCCCACACTCAACCATAAACAGTCAATGCAAAGTACCTCATGAATGTTAAGATGTTTTTAAATCAATCAGCTGATCATAGTAAAAAAAAAAAAAGCAAATGGCTCATACACGCGCTCCGTCCTGCGTCTGGAGGATGACAGGTGCTGACAGCTGCTCACGTGAACAGATTGTCTGTAATTGATGCAGATTTTCCCTCATTTTGCAGGTTTACAGATGTTTTGAGCAATCTAATGGTTTTTATCAAAACTCAGCTTCAAATAAATTTTCTCTCAGAGCCTGCAGGACGATAAAAGAATAAATAAAATTAAACAAGTCAGATAAAGTTAAGTTCATCGTGAGGAGGAAGGAGATGAATGGAGATGTGTGAACTTTTATTAAAGATTTAAGTTTTTTTATTTCAAAGRTCCTTMTGGCTCAGCAGCAGAAGCATAAATTATACTGTTAAGAAAGCTAAAGTCTATCTAAAATCCAAGTGTGATTATGAAGAGAAATCATTACACAGTGTGGCTCTAATTCCTCACTTCACCATCTGTGTCGCAGCTTCCTGTCTCCAAAATGAGCGTACGCATGAGTCAAAACTGGCATGAGGCACATTTTCATTTCAAGTTTGGATTTTATAAATTATAACCTTGGCTTGAAAAGTGGCGGACGCAAGTTTTTGGGCTCATTTTGTGCGTACGCAAGCTTTATAAATCCGACCCCAGGACCGGTAGCAAACTTAGCACTTCATGAAGACAGATCGAGTCAACCTCTGATTACAGAGCTTTACTCTGTTTATTTATGCAGCCAATGCTTCTGGGAATGATCAGAAGTAAAAAAAAAAAAAAAATTAAGACTTGACAAAATTAAAGACCTTGGATGAAAACCTGGGCATTTTACGACTTTTTTAGGCCTAAAATTTAGATTTTCAAATTTTAGACCTTTTTTTAAATTTTTTTAGACTTTTTAAGACCCTGCATGAACCCTGTGGAAGGAAGCCACATCCACCGGCACTTTGCACTGCAGTAACTTTCATTAAAATGATGACACGAAACGGACAAAACATATCCACACATACAACTTACCAAACGTAGAGGCAAGGCATTCATAACCAAGGACAATTACTAATTAGCCTAACATGTATGGTTTTGGTCTGTGGGAGGAAAGTATGCAGGCACACCTTGAATAATTAATTCAGGTATTTATTCAAAGTTATTTGAAGAGAGTTTTTCTTTCCAGAGAAAAGCCAACAGTATGAAACCTTTGTTTGTGGATGTTTGTGACAGTCTGTTCCAGTGTTGTATATTTATTTCTATATGATATGAAATTCTCTGCAACATTTTGTCTTTGACTTCCTGAAGCCTTTCCTTTGCCTTTAGATTTCTTTGACAYCAAGTCAGTTTGAAGCGCCTCATCACGAGGCTGGGATATTAGACAAACGTGTCAGAGTCAGTAAAACGGGACTTCATTTCCTGTTGGGGTAAGCTGTAAATTCTTGTGTACACACRCACACAGCCACCAGACTGTTGGTCCCACTGGAAACACCAATTATATCCGTGACCATTTCTCTTTATGGTTAGCTACGTAGTTCAGCTTACAAGTTTCCTTTACTTCTGTTTGATACAGTCCAGACTCAATTTATTTCTTCCCTAGAATACAGCTTGCCTGATACAAGTCCAGTCACTCTGATAAAACAGAGGATGCAGGTTCACATAAACACGTGAGCCGGGGGTATTTGTGTTCCTACATTTCCACCAAATTAACACATCACCATGAAGGGATGTGCACATGTTCTAGCGGTAAAGGTGTAGCTCACCCACAACTGTTGTTTCCAACTCTTTCCAAATAAAACCGTGACAGAAACAGACTTCAGTTTATTTGGGTAGGTGTTGTGCTAAAAATKGCAACCTCTGCTTGGAAGAGAACTACAGTGATTTGGAAAAAACTTGGTTTATTACTGCCACCTTGTGGTAGTGTTAACAGTGTTGCTTTTGTGCAAACTCTATATACACAAAATCGATGGGCGTTTGAAGCAAAAACACTGAATTCCTCATTAATTATTCTATCTTCTTTGGTCAACCTAAACATAAACAACATAAAAGCAGTTTGTAGAAATTCAATACTCTTACAGTGTTTCTTATTTTGTCATTTACTCGTGCAGCAGAAGATTTAACACAACAAACTGTTACAAAGCATTGATGGTCTCTTAAGAAGCACTAATCTCAGATGCTGCTTTATGATTTAAGGATCATTTCCTGTTTGTGTTTTTGCTTGATTGTGGTGAATTAAAGTTTACTCRACCAAAGCTCGGCAGAACCAGAGGTTATGAGAACAGAAATGAGTGCTGCAGCTAAGTCAGCAAGCTGGGGATCTGTTTCAGGGTTCTCTGCATTTTGAAAAAACAAAAGTCATTGAGTTTTACCTGAGCAAAAACTTTACTGTGGCAGTGAGTGATTTAACTTGGTTTATATTTYTTTAATAAGCCTGTAAACTGAGCTCACCTGTGACCATAGTTTCCACTTCATATTCCTTTCAAAATAAAATGGCAGGAACAGACACTGGGACAGTCCAAGGGTGCTTTTTTTATATGTGGGTAGAAATTAACAAATTGAATGGTAAACAACCAAATGCTTGTGTAAACATGAATAAAATATATTTTTAAAAGGTGGCTGTAATGGTCCCATTTATTCAACTTGCCTCATTTTAACTAGACCTAGTTTACTGTCTTATAAATCCACAATACAAAATATCATTAGGAGATTGTTCCAGCTGTAAGAAATTATTTTKCATTACTTTCTATTGATCCTACGGCCCAACACATTTATTGAGCGTGTCCTGCTTTCTGTGAGTTGTGATGTAAGCCCAGYTCTATCGGTGCTGTTGGGACACGGCTGGGTTGCTGGGCCACATATGTGACGTAACCCCACAGGGAGCCRAGGCTCACCTTGTTTTTGGATCTGGGCCAACTCATTTAGATCGGGATGCACTTTCACCCACATTATTAGACCAGTTACACAATCGCGGGGCGCAAATGAAACTGTTACATAAAGTTGAAGTCTTGGGGCAGCAGGTAAACACTGACCTTTAATGGCCGACTCCACCCGCTCAAACTCAAGGAAGATCCTGACGGCTTCATCGTCCGGTACCTCTGCGATCTGAGAAGGAAGCTCTTTGTTAGATCATGGAGTTTCATCACTTTAGGTGRTAGAACTTTATTCCTCTAACCTCAAATATGACACATTTAACCACTTTTCCGTATTTCTCGCATTCTTCTTTTGTTTCTCCCTCCAAGTCTTCGTCCACTTCTCCTCTGCCCACCATGTTCTATGAAACAAACGTTTCAGAAACTCTTATTGCTTTTGTTTACATTTTCATAAACCAACGTCTTGAATCATGTTCTATTTGGTTTMATGGAAGGAATGAGACGTACCCTCAGCAGAACCACTTTGGTTGGGTTTTTCAGAATCTCTGTAAGCGGGTTCGCGTCGGACTTCTTGGAAGCGTCCGCTGACAGAAAAAAAAAAAGATAACGTTAGTCACATTTTTGTTCCCTTAACAAAACAGCACGTGCAACACTTGGCTGCATTTTATGGCTCCGATAAAGACGAGGAGCTTWACSCGGACCGTGTGATAAATGGAACAATTCAGCTCATGTGTTGAGCTTGGCTGACACAATGAAGTCCGTTAGCTTCAGGATAAAGTTTGATTGTGTTAAAGCACGGCTCAGACATCACTCTAAATGGGTCACTCAGGTACAAAAATGCTGTTGGTATTCCTGGAAATCAGTCTGAGAAAAGAACAAATGTCTTGTTCAAATATGGACTCAATTTATCAAAAAAAAAAAAAGAAAAGAAAAAGAAACAATTAGATCAGCAAATTTAGAAGCAAACGTTCCAACACGCAGAGGCACCACTAAGGGGATTAGGGCGGCAATGGCTACCCCTAAAAAAACTGACGCCCTTAGGGCACCGTGMCGATTTTTGGGTTTGCCAAGAGGTTTTTTTTACGCTACGTAAATTCTCTAAACTTTCTAAGCCACGTCAGGATGACAGTGATTTTATGAAGCCAGAGGAAGATGTAAAGAATAAATTGTGCTGGTCTGGATAGAGGAGGTGGGCAGYGATGTTACAGCTTCAGTACCTGTTATGTTTTGTCACAATCTCTGCTCCAAGGGGGCTTAAAGTGTTGATGCTGTGTTTCAAAACCCTGCCTAAAAGCCTGTGCTTCATGGAAACACTTTCATAATTCATTCAAAAAAGAAAAAGAGGTAAAGTTAGTTGCAAGTGCAAACAGCAGTAGCAGCTAGCTATAGCACTTTTGGTGCAGCCCGGGCAACTTCCAGAAGGACTATTTTTCTCATTAAATTACTGTATAATCTCAAATCTGACAGCAGTTTCAGTGGTTTTACACCAAGAGTTTGYATGAAATCCCTATGAAATTTTTAAGATGTGATAGTTGTAGGAAATCAAACTCAGCTCCTTTCAGACAAGTTCATCAACATGGTCCACGCAGACCTGCTTCCAAAGCTGGTTTTGATGTATTAAAACAAAAAAGAAAACTTACAAATGTCATAATGTTTCATTTAAATGTTATTATTTAAAACTTTTACATGGCTGCTATGGCCAAACTTTTTACAAAGTTGGAAGTGCTACAAATAGCTGCTGCTGGTATTTTCACATGTAAATAATAAATAAAAAATTGTGATGGCTCTGTAAATGTCTACGAAATAACATGTTAATGAAGCACCAGGAAATCTTTGATACTTGACTATTTAAAGACGGCTCATCAGTTCTGTCGGAATTAAAGTATTAAACCAAAATGAGGCTGTTCAAAAYGCGATCTACAACAGGTAAGATAATATTTGTTTARACCCTCTCCATGAATCTCCACTTAAATGGTTGGAATCTCTCTTAAGGAGAAACAATAAGAGAAACTTGTGGTCTAACATTCTGTAAAGGTAAGAGCTGTACATCCTGAGGTGAGCAAAATATCTTTGTAAAAAGTCAGCTGATGGTCGACTGCAGCTTTGATGTGAATTTGAAGCAGATTAAACATTCTGTGCACGGGACCTAGCTACAATATTGCTGATCAGACTGTAAGGTAAACACACACAAAGACAAAGTTTGAGATATTTACACCCTGTTCCAAATTATTATGCAAATTGGATTWAAGTTTCATAATGATTTAATTTTTTGATGATCCATTAAACTCATGGATGGTGTCTCAGAGCTCTATAAATCACTATAATTAATTTCAGACACCTGTGCTGATTACTTTGCCAGGTGAGCAGGCCACAGGTTTTAAGCAATATGGRAAAGAGAAAGGATCTCTCTGCTGCCAAAAAGCGTCAGATAGTGCAGTGCCTTGGACAAGGTATGAAAACATTAGATCTTTCACGAAAACTGAATCATGATCATCATACTGTGAAGAGATTTGTAGCTGATTCAGAGCACACACGAGTTCGTGCAGATAAAGGCATAATGAGGAAGGTTTCTGCTAGATAAATTCATAGGATTAAAAGAGCAGCTGCTAAAATGCCATTATAGAGCAGCAAATGGTTATTTGAAGCTGCTGGTGCCTCTGGAGTCCGACGAACCTCAAAGTGTAGGATCCTCCAGAGGCTTGCTGTTGTGCATAAACCTACTATTCGGCCAACCCTAACCAGTGCTCACAAGCAGAAACGGTTGCAGTGGGCTCAGACATACATGAAGACTGATTTTCAAACAGTCTTGTTCACTGATGAATGCCGTGCAACACTGGATGGTCCAGATGGATGGAGTAGTGGATGGGTGGTGGATGGCCACCACGTCCCAACAAGGCTGAGACGACAGCAAGGAGGTGGTGGAGTCATGTTTTTGGCCAGAATCATGAGGAGAGAGCTGGTAGGACCCTTTAGGGTCCCTTAAGTTGTGAAAATGACCTCAGCAAAGTATWTAGATTTTCTGACTGATCACTTTCTTCCATGGGACAAAAAGAAGAACCGTACCTTCCGTAGCAAAATTATCTTCATGCATGACAATGCACCATTTCATGCTGCTAGGAATGGCTCTGTGTCATTGGCTGCTATGGGCATAAAAGGGGAGAAACTCATGGTGTGGCCACCATCCTCCCCTGACCTCAACCTAGAGCTGGGCGATATGATCGAAATTTTATATCACTGTATTTTCAATATTTTCACCGGTTTCACGGTATTTGACGGTATTTTTCTTTTCATCACAGCTCAGCTGATAAGAAAATGTACAAACCCTGCTTATTGACTTTTTTTCTTTTACTGTAACTCTGTCTATGTCACTGTTTCCCTCCTCTGTGTTTATTTTCTCTGACTGGTGGTTGCAGACAGTAGTCATGCATTTTGGTCCAGTCGTGAAGGAGGAGGGTTAAGAAAAGATTATGATCGGGTTTATTGTTTTTTGTTATTTATTAAAGCTTATCAGCCCGACTCACCTTGCACACCAGTCAATTCCAACTCCACTACGAACTACTTCCTGCGGGCTTTTCACAATAGAACCACGTTAAGTCTCCATCAGCATAACGTCTCCATATTAACTAACCGTGTTAAATCTAACTGTGCACGTCACTGAAGAGGTGTTTACTACATTCAGCGACGGCGAAAACGGGATGTTTTTAAACATCAGTCAATACAGCATAATCAGCGGAATCGCCACCCGCTGCTGCAACTAGCTGCTCCAAACATTAGCATGCTAAAACACATAGCGGTGCAGCAAGGAAAAATGTTCCCCAGGAAACAACAGTTCACTGATGGCCGCGACAAAACGTTCCGCTATTTAAACCGGAATGTCCGGTATTCAGAAAATTCATAACAAAAATATAAACCGGTATTCGGTACAAAACGGTATACCGCCCAGCACTGCCTCAACCCTACTGAGAAAMTTTGGAGTATCCTCAAGCAAAAGATATATGAGGGTGGGATGCAGTTCACATCAAAACAGCARCTCTGGGAAGCTATTCTGACATCTGCAAAGAAATTCTAGCAGAAACTATCCACAAACTCACAAGTTCAATGGATGCAAGAATTGTGAAGGTGATTTCAAAGAAGAGGTCCTATGTTAACATGTAACTTGGTCTGTTAAGATGTTTTGATTTAAAAAGCTTCTGATTTTAGTAAACGTGACCTCCTAATTAGCCTGGCCCTTGCCTTCCTACGCAGTTCTGCTCAATTCTATTTTCCCTTCACTGCTCCTGCTGCGATTTTTCCCACAGACAAGGATTTCTTCAGGAGAATTTTTGTCCGGGCCAATCAGAGAACAGAACATTGATTTTATGTGCAGTGTCTGCTTGTAGTTTATATTATCTGGGCCAATCGGCAAACAGAAGGAAGAGTTTTGAATGATGCCGATGTTCTGCGCAGTGTCTGCTAGTTAGATTCACATACAGCAGTGGAGGAAGTGAATGAAGCCAGTCCGTGTTGATAAGGCTCCCAAATTAAAATTCATTTGTCTGACAAAGCCTGTTGCTCTCATTTACAGCCGTCTCATTCAGCTCGGTACTTCTCTCCTCTCAGCAGGGTTGTTAAGGCGCACAAGATTTCTGGTTAGCTTCTTAGCTTAGCCTCCTTCACAGCGGAGCTGGCGTACACCTACATTGCGGCCAACAGATCCAATCATTTTAAACTTCAGCAGAGGCCACGCCTCCAGCAAGAATCGCTTCTCTGTAGCCAAGAGTCCAGACCCTCGTACGAAGCAAAGTGAAGGACAAGAGTCTGGTTTTTACTCCAAATAGTTCATGACTTGAAAATTATACTGACTATCATTTGCATTGACCATTTAGGGATATCTGAAAAAAATATCACTTGCATAATAATTTGGAACATGGTGTATTGATAACGAGTGAGGAAAAAAAAAGAGGCCAACCTGCAGAACCTGAAGTCTCAGCACCGCCTGACTGGCTGGACCCCGCTGCACAGACACAAAATGAAACACGATCAGTCTCAGCTGACATGAAATGATTTAAAGCAGACAGAGTGAGACAAAACAAAGAGAGAGGAACATCTTTGTGGCACTCACGTTTCTCTGCTGCGTCGCCCACAATGATCTTCCCACCTCTCTTGCTGGTCTTCTCCACAGACAGCGCCGTGCTCAGGCCCTGCTCRTGCTTCCCCAGACCCTGACCTTCTTTGAAGCCGTACTTCTGCATGATTTTATGAGCCACGGTGCCTCTGTAGGAAGTGCATAGGATCAGCTACTTTAGTTGTGAAGTTGTTTTCATTTTAAAATCAAACAACATAAACGCACCCCATGTTTGCCAGGAAGGAGCTGGTCGGGATGGGCGGTGAGCGAGGCCTGTCTGAGTCGTCATACATCGGGGGAGGGATGGCTGCCTTCGAGCCTCGGGGGGGACGACCTTCATCTTCATGGGAAAATGAGGAAGAACCTGAACAAGTAATAAGATAAATGTTATTATTGAAAAGTAGATTTGTAAAATTTAATAAAACCTTAGTTCAGATGTTTGTTTGGTAGATTTTGTAGCTTTTTGAAAGACAATGCTGCCCCCTGCTGGACAACTGCTGCAGTTCTAGGGCTGGGTATTATGGCCATTTCTCTAAATTGATTCAATTTCGATTTATAAAGTTCTGAACCAATTAATCACGATTCAATTTGATTCAATCAATTCAATTCAGTGAAAATGTTTATTGATATTGTATTTTGCAACTGTGTTGCAAAATACATGATCGCCATTTTTTTCTCTTCAACATATAAACAGGTTTGAAGCTGTTTAATCTTGAAAGAAAACTGTCACAAGTTTCAAAGGTTTTAAAGTAAAAAGGAATTGCAGGAATTGTTGTTGGATACATTCATTTTTAAGTAACTAATAATTATTTTGATCAATAAGAAGTGATGGGAATTAGGCTTCAGGAGAAGGGGTGGGCTAATATAAATATACTTCTGCTCACTCCTTTGTATGTAAACTGTATATTTTTTTATGTTTGTTAGCTTCTGTTATGTTCAATATAACTTATTAAAACATAATATAGAGATGTTGACATGTCATCTGCTGCTGCCATTTTCTTCCCAAACTGCTGTGAGCAGATTTTGCGAGGCTGCTCGGTGCGTTTGCTTGTAATTTCCTCCTGCTTCGTTATTTCTACGAATTTCAACAAACCGTGCTGCCGTCAGGTAGTTAGCTACAGCCTCGTCTTTGAGTTTTTAATTTTTGTTGATGCGTTTTGAAGAGAATTTTTTTTTAAAAATAGGATCAAAGTAAATCCCCTGAGTTTTTCTAGTGACCCCTTAAACAGATAAGGTTATCTGCCCTTGTTCCAAATTTGATAATGATTTCAAACGTCGAAGTATATGGAGAGC